GAGGATTACCTGCGTTAAGATTAACCATAAGAAATGTTCATCATAATCTTTATCAGAATGGGAAAAATATCATTTTATTCTTTGCCTTACCAGAAAAATATCTATGGCCAACTTTGGGCTCAATATTTATTAAGATTACATATCTATGCACACACATAGATATGTCCCTGTCTGCCTTTCAAGACATATGTTCATACACATAACATGCATATCTTCTTCTAATTTCTCCTCAATTCTCAGTTCAATTCTTTATTGAAGGGTGTTCACAGAAGCTACACAAATCCAGGGAAATGGTGAAAACTTTTATTTGAATTATTTCTAGGTTCTGCACCTGAAGAAAAAATTGTTTTCACTAGATGTGGCACTACCACCCATATGCAGTGTAGCAGAAGTCTGATTAAAGTGAAATGAGCTTCAGTGAGGAATTACATATTGGGTCTGAGATCATTTGACTCTTCCCCCTTTGTCCTATTTTCTATTTTGTCCTATTTTCTAAGGCAAAAGGCAACTAAGCAAAGTTGCCTTTTGCCTACTGCTGGTGCCACACATGGGCAAGATATTAATAGCTCTTTGTTTCTTTTAAATGAGAAAAAGAAAAGGAAAGAAAAGGGACTAGCTGAAAAAACTAGCATGGGGAATATAATTGAATAATCTTTTTCCTCTTTGCTGTGTCATTTCAATTAAACAACACACCAGTTGCAAATGATGTCGTTGATACTTAGACACAACTTAAATTCTGTGAAATTCTGGAAGCTGGCATGCATTTGGAATGCTTTAACATGCCACCAGACAACCCATGACCCATTTGGGTTATTGTTTCAGAGATTTTTCCTTACCTAAACAAAGAAATAGAATGATTACAGGCAGGCAAAGAAACATAAGACCTGGAATGACTTTCAACTTCCTGTTGGCTTCCTCATTGACTTCCCTTGTAGGAAGGTAGGGATTTGAAATGAGAGTCATGTGACCATGGGTGTGTGTGGGGCAGTGGAGCAGCATGGCAGCGTAGTAGCACTGAAGCAATCAGAACGTTGCCAAATTTTAATCCCCCAGGTGTCATGGGTCCCAGATTTTGGATGCATTCTGTTAAGTTAGTCTGCTTGAGGTACAAGGATTCAAAAATTGTTGCCCTTTGATACAGCGTTTCATCCAATTGAAGGTTACACACAATCAAATACTAGACTTTTCAGTACTATTATAGATTGGGCTGGCACCTATGTCAGGCAGAAAGTCATTCAGAAACTTGATTTCTGTCATTGACCAATAAAATATATATTCAATAAAATGAAGCAAAGTAAAACACCTAACATCAAAGACTGCTGGCAACCATTTATAGGCAGAGTTTACCTATAAAGTAGCAGAATTATGCTATTTTTAGAGAGATAAATCTATCTTGATTGTGTAACAAATAATGTAATTAAAATCATCAGAGTACCTTGGACATTTAGATAAGGGGGTGGTGGTAATCAACTGCCAGAATGACCCTGACAACAGAAAAGTACATGGGCTGTGGTTTCTATGGCACCCAAATAACAGTGGCAATATATAAAGAATCCTGTATTTTCCTTCCAAAGTGTGAGGAGAACATTAAATTGGGCTAAAGATAGAACCCTCCTGAATTTGGGGGCTATGTTATAAAGAAGCTGGTTTAGGTGCTAAAATTTGGTTATTTACAATTACATTGTTAGAAAAAGCAGCAATTTCTGTTTGGCCTTCTACATTTAAGATAATTTGTCTTAATATTGTTCTAGCTTGATCTGACCCTAAAGTTAAGATTGTATCAGTGTAAATCCATAGTGGCTCAGTTTCTTTTGGATGGCTTTTCCTCAAGATTTGAAGTTGATAGGTCATCTACTAGGACTGTGATATAGTTTTAGCCAGTAAGTAAAAATATTTATCCAGAAATTGAATTCAAGTTTATTGATTCCTGCTGCCTATTGAATTACTGAATTTGGAACACAGTGGTCAACCTGGAAGATACTTCTCAAAAAAATTGTTTGATTTCTTTCTAAGTTAATCATGCTGTTACATGGTTTTAATTGTGCCCCATATCATAATTGTGCTTGGCTTTAGCTACAAACAACTTAATTGCAACAGAAATAAACTGGGCTGCTCTAGAAATATAACTTTGAATAGTGCGTGCAACTCTTTTTGCATTATGCGATACATAATGGAGGTGGGCATTTCTGCTTCCTAAAGCTTGCAAATCTATCCCTAAATGTCTAAAAATCTTAGCCTGTTCAATGAACTAACCACCAAAGTCTAGCTTGTCTATTTTGGCCATTTGGACAAAGCGTAATTTTTAGTCTTGGAGTAATTTATTATTGGTTCTTCCTCTATAGAATATTGCACAAGTGATCTCAAGACTCTTCTTTTAAGGCCAGTGGTAGTCAGTGACAGAAATACTGCATCATTAGCATACAGTGATAAATGTATATGAAAGGTAGAGTTACTTGGGTGAGTTACTAATGAATTTACACGACAGTTGAATAAAAGGAGCCAGTAAACTTTAGGTCAGCTTTTGATACAGTATCGAGATCTAAACCATGGCA